ACACACACACACACACACACACACACACACACACAAATGTGCACACACTCGCATCACGTCGCATCACACACACACACACACACAAATGTGCACACACTCGCATCACGTCGCATCACACAACATATCACACTACCCCCCCCCCCTCTCCCGCTCTTCATCTCTGCCTGCGCCAACTGCAGCGGCTGAAAGGCGTTTTGAAGAAATCCATGCAGAAGTACAAACGGTTACAGACTGAGCTCTCAGACCTGTCTCCATCCTTCTTCCAGGAGCTGGAAGGTGCGTTGCATCTCTCGTTATCACTGATGCTGCTGCCCGTGTCTGCGAGCAAGCAAGCGCACACTGTACGCGTCTTTTGTCTGTGCCTGAGTATGTGGTGGCTGCTGCATGCCATCCACTCTCCATTCGACGCTCTCATCCTTCTCATGTCCTTTCCTTTCCAATTCGCACACGCACGCGCACACACACACACACACACACACACACACACACACACACACACAGATTTGAAGTTTGAGTTGCATCAGGCACGGTTGCGCAATCGCGAATTGGAGGCTGAGTTGGCAGACGCAACGGCCACACCAGCATGAACCATCGCCGACAGCCGCAACCACAACACGCCACCCAGCAGCAGCAGCAGCAGTGACAACAGGAGTGTGACGCTGTGTGCACGCGCGCCAGCAGCTGCAGGGAACGCGTGATGGTGGTGGTGGTGGTGGTGGTGGTGAACACTGCGTGTATCACGCACAGACAACGCAGCCGCGAGTCGCATCCGCCCCACGCCCCACGCCCCACGCCACGCGAGACAGTGATGGCAGCGGTGGCAATGAGAATTGCACAAGCAATCATGCCATGCACAGCACGCTGGCCGCAATTCACGACCGCCACAAGCACCACCAGCAGCGACAGAAGCAGGAACAGAAACAACGGGTGTTGCGTCTGGTGGTACATCTGCCTGTGGATGGTTTGGGTTTAATGGATGGAGGAGGGCTTGGTGTCATCTCACATGATGTGACACAAGACAAGCAAGGGGTGTGACGCAAAGGGGACAAGACGTGATGTCATTTGTTACGAGCACGTAAATTCGTATCCGTCGACACGAACAACGCCAAACAACAGGAGAGGGGAGAACCTGCATTGGATGAAAAAGAAAACGTGAGAACCACGCGAGCTCTGACAAGGATGAAGCAGCCATGAACTTTTGCAAACAACAGCCAGAGAGGGGTAATGTAACCAAGGGCAACGAAGGGTGCTCTGCCAACGTCCAGCAGGAGGTTGAAACAGAGAGGAAAGAAGGGAGCATGAGCAACCGCGGTGGTTCAATGGTAACGGCTATGAGCGTGAAATGCATACGCACACACACACACACACACACGCACGCACACACACACACACACACACACAAACTCGCACACAGAGATCAGAAGTGGCAGCGTGGGTCAATCACCAGCACATGGTCAGAGTTGCGTGGAATCCCATACAGCAGCCCATTGGGCGCAGCAACCAGCCCATCCCACTTGCGTGACTGAGACGGCTCTGCTGGCGCTCCAATGGCAAGGCTCGTCGTGTCTGCTGTGGATGTCGCAGGGTCAAACATCAGCACTGCCGACGCTGAGGACGGGGCACCGTAAATGCGCCCATTGCTGCCAAGCGCACCACCCTCCCACTTGTACGAGGAGTCAGCTTCATCAGCAACGCGGTAGAAGGTGTGGTTATTGATGTTGAGGTCACTCACAAGCATGCGCGTGTCACGGTACGGGATGCAGTACAGCAACCCATCTCGGCCAATCACGCCGCCGCGCCACTTGTTGCCGCCCGTGCGCAAACCAGGATAAATGTGAGTTATCTCATCGGTGATTGGGTTGATCTTCAAGATGGTTGCTGCACTGTACGGGACACCATAGATGTTGCCGTCGTTACCACGCACAGCACCTGCCCACAGGTTAGTTGAACCTACGGGCGACATGTGCTCGAGCGTTGTGGCGTCTGCAGAGTCAGAAGCCGGATCAATGACCAGCACAGCTAGTGCGTCGTGGGGCACACAGTAGATCTTGCCGTTGTCAGCAAGTGCGCCCCCAGACCACTTGTCTCCCGCGAGGCCCAGCCCCGTAATGACGGATGTGGTTGCAGAGTTGGTCGCGGGGTTGATGGTCAAGACGGAGGTTGCGTCGTTCGGGCAGGCGTAGATCTTGCCGTTTCCGGCGAGTACGCCACCCTGCCACATGTGGTCTCCGGATGCTCCTTGGAGTAAGATCTTTGACACGGTGTTGGAGGTCGTCTCGATGACGAGGACGTCGTGCTCGTTGTAAGGGATGCCGTAGATCTTGTTGTTGTTGGCCAGCACGCCGCCGGACCATGCGTCAAACGTGTTGACGACAGGAATGTACGTTGGGTTTGTTGGTGTGAACCGGCGACAAATCGATGAGCGCAGGGCGGTGATTTGTGCGTCCTGCTCTTCCACCGTGGCCTTCACCTGCTGCAGCGCCACCTCGTTGACCGCGACCATGGATTCTTGAGCAGCAATGGTTGCATTGAGCATGGCCACGGCTTCCTGCTGTGCACGCAACACCGCCACGGCGTTGACGCCGTTCAAGAACACTGGCTTTCCGCCTGGCACGTCGATCGAGATGGAGCCCTGCTCATCCTGTGTAATCGTCGCCCTGTCCTGCTGGGCGGCGCCCGCCTCGCCACCCGCCGCGAGCAGCACCAACACAACAACAACAACCACAACAACGGCTCTGCCCATTGTCAAAAAAATCATCGCGGACCGCCAAGTCATCTTGGGTGTTGGCGATTTGTGAAAAATACCGACCAAAATTCCAGCCAAACTCTTTGTTAACATTGCATGGAATCATACCGCGCCTTTCACGTGAACAGATCAGGGCAGAAGGTACGACAGCGAAGGGGCTCACACAGAGGAGTGAGCTCGATGGCAGAAGCAAGGCACACGATCGCCCAAAGGGGTGTAACAACACGAAGAACGTACAACAGAAGAGATCAAAGTAACGAAGGAAATAAGAGTGCGCTGCAAGGCACGCTGAGAACAAGCAGAATGCACGCAAATGGAAAAAGGTCTTCACACACACGCACACACACACACACACACACACACACACACACACACACACACACACACACACACACACACACACACACACAAACTCGCACACAGAGATCAGAAGTGGCAGCGTGGGTCAATCACCAGCACATGGTCCGAGTTGCGCGGAATCCCATACAACAGCCCATTGGGCGCAGCAACCAACCCATCCCACTTGCGTGACTGAGACGGCTCTGCTGGCGCTCCAATGGCAAGGCTCGTCGTGTCTGCTGTGGATGTCGCAGGGTCAAACATCAGCACTGCCGACGCTGAGGACGGGGCACCGTAAATGCGCCCATTGCTGCCAAGCGCACCACCCTCCCACTTGTACGAGGAGTCCGCTCCATCAGCAACAGAGAAGAAAGAGCGCTGACTGTCCAAATCGCTGACCAGCATGCGCGTGTCACGATATGGGATGCAGTAGAGCAACCCATCTCGGCCAATCACGCCGCCGCGCCACTTGTTTTTGCCAGTGGGCAGCCCAGGATAAATGTGAGTGATCTCATCGGTGATTGGGTTGATCTTCAAGATGGTTGCTCCACTGTACGGAACACCGTAGATGTTGCCGTCGTTGCCGCGCACAGCACCTGCCCACAGGTTGCTCGAACCTGCGGGCGACTTGTGTTTGAGCGTTGTGGCGTCTGCAGAGTCTGAAGCCGGGTCAATGACCAGCACAGCTGACGCATCGTGGGGCACACAGTAGATCTTGCCGTTGTCAGCAAGTGCGCCCCCAGACCACTTGTCACGCCCTGAATCAAGGTTGGTGATGGTGCTTGTGCTTGCCGTTTCTGATATCGTGTCGACAACCAAGACGGAGGTTGCGTCGTTCGGGCAGGCGTAGATCTTGCCGTTTCCGGCGAATGCGCCACCCTGCCATTTGTGGTCTCCGGATGCTCCTTGGAGTAAGATCTTTGACACCGTATGGGAGATCGTATCGATGATAAGGACATTCTCCTCGTTGTAAGGGATGCCGTAGATCTTGTTGTTGTTGGCCAGCACGCCGCCGGACCATGCGTCAGCCCCGCTGGTGACGGCGATGAAGCTGGTGATCTTGCCATGCTGGTTGCACAGGCGCGTCACGGCGCGGCGCATGGCTGACGCAGTTGCCTTGACGTTGTCGAGCATTCCAAGCACATCCTCGCCGTTGAAGAGCACCGAGCCGACCCCATTGCCCTCGCTGCCATGCGCACTCGTGGTGATGGCCAGCGTTCCCGTGCCGTCATCCACCTGCTCCACCACCACCTCTGCACTAGCAGTGGCAGCAAGCACGCCAACAACAACAACGAGCAGAACAACAACAGCAACCCCCATCATCATATCGAGCAGAGAAAATTTATGATGTTCAAGACTGGAAGGACAGCAGCTGCTTGCCTTTTGCCTCAGTGTCTTTTTGCGCTGTGTTCTTGTGTCTTGTGTTCTTGTGCGTTGTTTGCTCTTGTGCTCTTCATCCTCTGTCTTGTTGTTCTCCTCCCCCTGTCTGCTCAGAGGCAGTGCCTCGCTTCTTCAACGCTGTGAGGAACCGGGTCTTGTCTTGTACCCTTAGAGAGAGAGAGACTTGACTACTTGATCTCGTTAGCCTGTTGTTCTTGTTGATCTTCTCCTTGTCTCCTTCTCACGTCCTCGAGTTCCGTTGATTTGCTGTTTTGGTGTTATGGTATGTTACAACGTTCTAATGTTACTTCCCCTTTGTTCTGTTTTCCGTTAGATGAGAAGAGTCAACCCCCCGCAAAAGCGAGAAAGCTAGAAAGAGCCAACACCGACATAAATGCTGTGCTCCAAACACAAGTGTCGAGAAAACAGTTCTACATGTACAAAAGAAGTAAACAACGAGTGAAGCATAACACGGGCTTCAGACCAGCAACTTCGGCATTAAAATTTTTGACTTTTCCTGGTTGCTTGTCTCCACCGCGCACGCGTGCATCCCACGACCAGACGTCATCCCCTTGCTGCGTTCAACAACCAGGATACACATTCACAGTCAAGTTCATCTTGGGAAACCATTTAATACTTGAAATGTCCATCTGCGGCTCCTCTCAATTAGAACGCTCACGCATGTGCTAACGATGTGTGCATGCAATATGACAAAGCAAAAAGAAAAACTTAAACTAAGTACGTAAAACAACATAAATGAAGATAAAGGATGGACACAATAAAGTGCAGATTCCAACAGCAGCTACACTCACTCAACAATGAATGACAACAAGGTGTGTATGTGTATGCGCCGATGAGAGTGCGAACATAAAATACATCAGACACAGAAATAGCAGCAACACGGGAGGCGAAGGTCAACACATGACACAGCACAACCACCTTTGGTCAACAAACAGCATGACCACCACCATGACAAGAATCACGATCGGGGCACAACAGGCAGCCGGCGCCGGGCCTGTATGATTGTGTGTGTTGCGTATGTGTGTGGGTGTTGCGCGTGTGCGTGTGTGCATGCAAGTGTGCATGAGCCGTGATGTGCCGATGGTACCACAAAGTCATGGTGATGGAGCATGTTCTATTGTCGTCGCGCAACAGGGCACATGCACAGACACAGACACACATGTTCACTGACGTTAGGCGAGGCCTTGGATGGGTTGGGGCGGCGGCGACCAGAGGGGGTGGAGGACGAGAGCGGTGTTGGCTGTGCAGAATTGGTGGGGGTAGTGGAAGCATCAGGGAGTTATAGATGACATGAGTGAAACTTACGATGAAACACACAAAGACACACACACACACACAGACAAACACACACACACACACACACACACACACACACACACACACACACACACACACACACACACACACAGACAAACACACAGACAGACAGACAGACACCCCCCCCCCACACACACACACAAAAAAAGCACCTTTTGCCTGGGCTGGCTGCCACGTCCGCTGCTACTGCTTCGTGCCCCGCTACCGGTCCGGTGCTTACTGCCGGGCGATTGCGCGCGTGCGAGTGTGTCCACGTCCAGCGCTTCTGCAGAACTGCCCATGCTGCTCAGTTTGCTCCGCTGCCCACCTATCGATGGCGACACGACATCGCCACTCCCGCCACTGCCACTGCCACTCGGAGCTGTGCGCGGTGTGCGCGCGGCGGAGTACGAGAAGACCAAGTTGTCCAGCACGGCCTGCGACGCGGGCCCCGTACCCTTGTCGGGACGGCCCGTGGTCGTATGGCCGGTTCCTGGTGTTGTTTCACCTTTGGCGGTGGCGGTGGCGTTGTCGTCGTCCGTGACGTGTGGTTGACGCAGGAACCGCCGCAATTCAGCAAATGAGTCGCCGTGCTTGCTGCTGCTGTTGCTGCTGCTGCCGCCGTTGGGGGTGTCGCGTGCGCCAGTGGTTGCCGTGCCTGCAGGCAACGGCATGTGGCGGTATGTCAGCACGTCTGCATCAACAGAGGCCGAGCCGTTGTGCAATCGCCCCGCTCCGCTGTCAAACGAGAACCCGCCCTCCGTGGCCCTCCGAGGCGACGACACCAGGCTGCCACCGCCGCCGGCACGGCGGGTGTGGGCGGTGCCTTCATCAAAGCTACCCGTGTTGCGGACCCTGGGCCCACTCTGCCGCGGGCTCGTCAGGTCAATGTGCTTGACCCCGGCCTGCAGTTGGATGCTGCGCCACTGGTCTGCGCCAATCTCCATGAGGGAGAAGCGGACCGGCTGCCCACCGCTGTCGGCGATGGCTGCACGAAAGTCGTCTTGCGTCATGCCGCGTGTGGGCGTGCCGTTAACGTGGAGGAAGCGATCGCCAACGCGAATGATGGACGCGCGGTCCGCAGGACCACCGCTGGCGATGGAAGCAACAAAGAGCGCGCCAAACGTCGTGTCCGCACCGCCCACAATGCGCATGCCAAGCCCGTCCTGTGCGTGTTATGTGCGTGTGATGTGAAAAGTGTGTGTGAATTGTGTGTGAAGTGTGTGAAGTGTTTGTGTGTGAATTGTGTGTGTGTGTGTGTGTGTGTGTGTGTGTGTGTGTGCGAGATGTGACGTGAGTGGAGAAAGAAGGGGTTGCCTCAAGTCGGGTGAACGAACAAACATGCGAACAAACACGGGTGAAGCTATGCACACTCCAGGCATGCATGCTCGTTCCCAACCCACACACCATCTCACAAACCTTGCCGCGTGAGAGGACAACATCGTATGTGCCGCCGTGCGTGGGTGTCGTGCCGTTGTCACGATCAACAGTTGTAATCGTCTGCCACCGCCGCGCCCGTCCGCCGCCACCACGACCATAACCACGACCACCGCTGCCCGTGCTGTTGTCGCTGTTGTCGCTGTTGTCACGGGAGGAGGGCGTGCCGATGCTTGAGTCTGATGAGATGCGCTTCCGACGCGGCGATGATGCGGATGATGGTGGTGATGACAGCGACAGTGATGGCGAAGCCCCCATCGTCTCATCGCTCCCTCCGCGCAGCAGCACGCCCCTGTTCCCGTCAAACTCGCCACCACTCTTCTTCTTCATCTCAACTGCGGTGTCCACGCTGGAATCGCTGGATCGTCGTCTCCGCTGCTGCTGCTGCTGCTGATGTGAACGGGAGCGTGCGTGTGCATGTGCATGTGCGCGTGTGCTTGCTGGATCCCCAGTTGTCATGCGTTGAGCGGCAGGCTGCACCATGACAGCTCCAACATCGCCAGTGCTCGTTGCAAACACATCGTCACCGCCACTGGGTATGCTCGCAGGCATTCGTGCGTGTGCGTGTGCGTGTGCGTGTGCGTGTGCGTGTGGGATTCCGGTCCATGACGCGGGGCGGGGTTGCCGACCGCCCCTCGCTGCGGACGATGATAATGACGACGATGATGATGGTGATGGTGATGACGGAGATGGCTGGTGGTGATCTGCTGTCATGTGCGTTGTTGGCGGTGCGCGGCGAAGCGGCACCTCAACACCATCACCGCCAGCGCCTGGCGCGGTGTTGTTGGCGGATTGGGTTGGCATGAGCACGGGATCAGACACGCTGTGCCGATTCGGCGCAGGCCGCCCTGATGACGACGACGACGACGACGATGTTGATGGTGATGTTGCGCCTGTCGACACGCCTGCGAACGACACGCGTTGTCTCCTCTGCCCCTGCTGCTTGAGTGCTGAGCGCGTTTTTGTCGCGTCGTGGTGGTGCGGGGCTGCGCGGGAAAACTTGTGCACGAGATCAAAGTGCACCCGCCGCTGTGCTGACGATGAAGGTGACGATGAAGGCATAGACATGGCCACTGGTGGCGTTGATGTTGATGTTGTTGTTGTTGTTGATGATGATGATGATGCTGTCGTGATGGTGGCAGACCGTGGTGTGACAGGCGACGTGACTGCGCCTGCCTTGCTGCCACTGCTCAAGACCCGACCGCGTGCTGTGGGGGTGCTTGACGTGTCATCCGCGCCTGCCATCGCTGTTGTGTTCTTGGCACTGGCAATTGTCGACGTTGTCGCTGCTGCTGCTGATGACGATGATGATGATGCTGCAGGGGTGCGACTGGTTTGCGTTCGCCCCTCCCGCTGCTTGGCGTAGGAGAAGGTGGTTGGTGTTGCGGAAAACGTGACCCCTGACGTCCGCTTACCACCGCGTCGACTGGAGAGGAAGGGAGGGGGGAGGGAAGAGATAGGAGGAGGAGAAGGTGAGTGAGTGAGTGAGTGAGTGAGTGAGTGAGTGTGTGTGTGTGTGTGTGTGTGTGTGTGTGTGTGTGTGTGTGTGTGTGAGTGAGTGTGTCGTCGATAGGGGAGCGGAGCAATCAAAACACGCTTCGACTGTGCGTGCGTCCGCGTACCGTGAGACTGGTGTGACGTCATGCATGGGGCTGAAGCCGTTGACAATCGTGTTGGCCTATGGCAGCAGCAATGACGCAAGCAGGTGGAGAAAGTGTAAGCAATGGAAGGTGCACGAGTGGAAGAAGGTGCAAGGGCGCCCCCGTGTACCCTATGATACACCCACACACGCACACGCACACGCACACGCACACGCACACGCACACGCACACGCACACCCACACATCCACACATCCACACACACACGCACACACACACACACACACACACACACACACAAAAGCGCGTTTGCCACGTTTCATGTGAGCTTACAATTGTCATTGGGTCTGAGCTGGATGGATCAATGTCGCTCTCCGTCTCCGATTCAGACGCATCCCGCCCCATCCGCTGCTGCTGCTGCTGCTGCTGACGGTGATGGTGTTTGCTGCGAACACCATCACCACCGCCGCTGTTGCTGTTGCTGTTGCTGCTGTTCTTTTGGCGCGACGATAATGACGATGACGGTGGTGGGATTGAGGGGGATGTGCCACCAGTTTGCTCGCCGCCACGCTGCTGCTGCTGCTGCTGCTGCTGCTGCTGCTGCGTCGCTGATGAGGATTGTGGCTGTGCTCGCTGCCCCATCTTTGGCGACGTCGCGTCTGCTGGTGTTGTCGATAGCGGTTCTCTTCCTGCACTGGTCACAGCCTGCCCACCATCACCATCACCGTGATCATAGCCACCCCCCTCTTCCTCTTCCTCTTCGTCTGTGGACGATTCGTTATCACTCGGCAGCAGTTCCGCCTTGTCCTTCGTCTCTTCCTCTTCCTCTCCGTCTTTAAGGCGTGCTGCTGTTGGTGCGTTGCCTGCAGGCAATCGCGTCTCGTTCTTGTTGTTTTCAGAGTTGGCAGCTCCTTTCGCCACCTGCGTGTATGAATGTGTGTGTGTGTGTGTGCGCGCGCATGAGGGTGAAGGTGTGTGTGTAATGAGTGTGTGCGTGTGTGAATGTGCGTGTGTGAATGTATGTGTGTGTGCCAGCATGTGTGCTTGTGTTCAACAACGTGCCAGTGAACGCGTAAGCACGTGTGGCAGGCATGACAAACATCAGACACACACACACAACACACACACACACACACACACACACACAACATCAGCATCAGTACCATATCAGCATCGCACCTGCTGCTGTGCTGCTGCTTCGTTCGCGTTGACGGCTGGGGATGTTGAATACAGGTCTTGCAAGTTTGGCTGTGCCGTCGGGAAAAATGCGACAGCAAAGCGTGAGTACAAGGCATAAGACCGAATGGTGTACATGTGTGCGAGTTTGCGCGCGCGCGCGTGTGTGTGTGTGTGCGTGCGTGCGTGCGTTTGCATCCCCGCATTACGGTCGGACCTTTTTGATGGCGAGAATGACGAAATCGACGACGGAGAGCAGCAGGTCAACATCTGATAGGTGTATGTGTGTGTATGCGTGTGGAAGGTGTGAGGTGCGTGATGCATGTCATGTGTGACGTGAGGGTTAGGATGAGAACGTGCACAAAAGCTGCACGATAGAGCGAGTGGAAGAAAACACAGCAAACACGGCAGCCACGACTACACGTTCAACGCCCTCCCCTCCCCACATGTTCACCAGCAGCAGCACCAGCAGCAGCGTACGTCGCATGGATGAAGATGTGACGTCGACGCCGTTGACCTGCAGAATCTGGTCACCAATACAGAGGCCCTGGTGCTCAGCCCGACTGCCCAGCGCAACGCTGCTCACAAAGATGCCGTCGTGCTGCACGGCGTGGACGTGTGTGGATGTGTATGTGTGTGTTTGGGGATATGTGTGGATGTGTGTGAACGTGTGTGTGTGTGAGGAGATGAAGAGCGAGCGGGAGGAAACGTGGTGCGAACACACACAAAAAAAAACGAGCGTGACCGTGATGGTGGTGATGGGTGTGCATGAACGCATGCAAACGCGAGTGCATGTGTAGCGAGCACTGCTACGCGTGGCGGTGATGCCACGTGCGTGTGTACGTTCAGCATGCGTCGCACCATCCCATCCATTACTTCCTTCCCCTTTCCCGCCCCCATCGCGTCGAGTCGCGTCGCAAGTGCACCTGGTCAAAGCCGTCGCCCTGGCGCAGGCTGATGCCCGTGAGGTCATTGTCGGCCTTGCTGAGGTAGATGAGCTGCGCGTTCTTGTTGGCCAGCATCGTCGCGCCGCCCGTGTGCTGGAACGACTGTGGTGACATCAGCACGAAGTAGCAGCAAGAGAAGGAAGAGGAGGCAGTGAGTTTACGTGTATGCGCGGCTGAGGGGAGAGAGAG